TCCTCTTTTTAACTTCCCTAACCACCTTTGACCAAAGTAAAAGCATTTTTTTTTTGTAGCAACTGGGGAAACACACACAGAGAACATAAAGATTAGTAACTCTTCCAAAATAGAATATCAAAACTCTGGAACTGCATCTCAGGAAACTTAAGAAATTGTGGCATCTTACTCAGAAAATGCCCAAAAAGTCAATGCCCAGGTTCAACTCAGACCTGGATCTGCACACAAACAAAGGCTTAAGGAACAATGTATAGTACTAGCAGGTCTATCCCTGACCCACATTGACTTGAGGGTAGGGCTCAGTTGGGTTCAAAGTTCTTATTTGTTATTTAACTCTAGGTACAATGCAATAACTGTTTTAAACTACTCAGAGGCAGAATTTTTTTGCCCCACTCTTCAAGTAACCCAACAGTTCCTTGTAAAGCATAAGAAGCTATTTGGGAAAAATGCTTCCATTTTGATACATATACATAGTATTTATAGAAAACTTATGAGTTAGGGTGAGTGAGGCATGATGCCAAAATTAGGAAAGGAGCAAAAACATTGTTTTTTGTCCTTGTTATCATTTGTATAAAAACACAGAAGTTTCCAATGTGTGTCTTGTTAAATTATGAATATTTGGGTTCAACCCAAATATTGTAAAGGAATAATTCACTGTGGGAAAGTGAAGCACAGTATACAGTTACCTTTAACACATTCAAAGAGTGATGCATCATTTGAACAACACCATCTTCATTATTGAAGGTGAGTGCACGTTATTAGGTGTTGATTTTATACTTGTTAACTTGAATGTTAACTTCTAGAAAAGAAAAGGAAAGCCATTCTTTTTGTAATTCAGTTCTTAGAAGTCTTGCTAAAAGTGCCACCTTTGGTTCATAAAATGGCGCTGCTCATTATGGCTCACGTTACTACCTCAGTAACTAAAACTTTCTGGATGGAATCCAGACCCAACTCAGTTTAAGATGGTTAAAGAACTTTCCACCTGTTTCTTAATCTGTCTATGTTATCTGGATTTGATGTCCTCATTTGCTGCATACTTGGTGTTTAGAAATGCAGGTCTTGCCAGTTTGTGGCTCACCCAGCTCTACAGAACTCTTAAATAAGACTTCAGGGTGAGAATGATGGAAAGAGGGTGCTTATTCTTTCTTCCTTTCATATCTCCCTATTTTCTCACTTCAAAAAGCTATGACAGAACACCAAAGCCATGAGTCTGTGGAATGTTCCCTGAACATTATGTATAACTATGTCTAGGTAATCTGCTTCCTATATATCCTCCTACCACAGACATGTGTATTAAAGAATATTCTCACACATTGTAAAGCATTTCAAAATCTGAGTTTTCCAAAGTCTTAGCATGATCAAGAGGCTTTGGGGTCTTGTATGTGGTGTATTGAGTACAACATATGAAAGAGTCCCTGGCTTCCTTTGCCTGTTCTATGAATCTGAAGAGACAGCAATGACACAGTCTTATGCTTATCACTCATATTATTGCCTTATAATTCTTTCCTTCAAGAGCAGTGACCTAGATTATTTTCTAAACCAGCTGGTTTATCCTAAACTATTTCACTGGTAAAATAATAATAATACTAATAATAATACCAAACCTTCTCCAGAAAAAAATAAGCACCTTGTACTTAGTATGTTTCCTATTTAATTATTTGCCTAAATTACAGTCACCTTTCATGACTCATACAGCAAAAGCTACAGCAGGTAACATTTCTTCTAAATGCACAGCTATTGCTCAGCTAGGAAATAGCAGAAAGTAGGACATTTGAGCATATGTGTGCATACGAATGTGTTCTCTGATAATCACTGTACTTTGAAGCACTAGATACTTTTGTGAAATTAGTAGATTTTACTTTACATTCAAACGTTGTAAACTATTGTGATTTAGTTTTTAAAAGAATATCACAAATACATGCTGCATTTCTTTTATCACTAGAGATCATGTAACACAACTACAGGACAAAGCAGTAAATCCTTTTCTTTATTATCTGCTTATTTTTATACTAACCTGCTCTAAAACCTTTAGCCCAACTCCCCATACATGTTGATGATTTCAAGAACCAAAAATAATCAGTAAATTATTTCATAACTTGCAAAAATAGAAAAGAAAAACCCGCTTAAAATATGTCTCTGAAATAATAAGGGATGCTTTACACCAATTCCCTAGTGCTTGGCAGCATTCTGTCAAGATTTTTCATTTGAAGCCAGTTAATTGTCCTCCTTTTAGATTTAATATAATATAATAGGTAGTAGTCAATCTGTTCTTTTTGCTTTTAACAGTTAAGAGAAGTTTAGTCCTTGTTTTATTTTAATTACCCAATTAAATTCTTAGTTGTATTGCTATCTTGGGATCAAAAGGCTGCAAATGATTATAGGTTTTGTGTTAATAGCAGGAAAATAGACCTCACCAAGTACAATATTCATAGGAAATGGCAGGCATGGGTTTGAGTACAACTAAAAAGATCAAAGCCCTTTAAATGACAGTTGCATAGTTTGCTACATCAATGTTCCATTTTTTTAATCTCCTAAATTCTCTGACTTCCAATTTGGACTCAAATCTCTGGCAATCTAAGACTTAACTATCCTATTAGACTATGTGATGATGTTGTCAGAAATACCATAGGTTAACCCATCGATTCACACTCAAGTGCATTATAAGCTGCAAAATAAATTGCTCTTAAAATAGTCATTTGTTTAGTGCCTTCCAAAACACTTTGGAAAGAGAAAACTACTCTAGAGAGATGAGAGTAGGTGGGGAAGGGAGTACAATAAAAAGATATTGAGCTGAGTGGGGGGGAAATTGGCATTTCCAGTAAAATTATTTACAATAAAAACATAAAGACCTCGGAACAAACTTTTTGTTTTTTCCTGCTGAATTATTTCCAACTCACCAAACAATATTTTGGAAGGATTGACTTCAAGATACCTAGACAAATAGCCAAGTCTCAAAAAAGAAAGTTTTTTTTAACTGTGTTCCTTTCTCAGAAGAGAGTTAAATCTTTTCAACACACACACACACACACACACACACACACACACACAAGAAGGGTTATAGCCTTTGACCTGTACCACTTTGGGAAGTCCTGTTGGCAGCAATTTCATGTCCAGAGCATGAACCAGTGCTGTAGATGTAGGTGGGTAATTGAACCAGGCATCTATAGTGTTAGACTGGATGCCAAGAACCAGGAGTACACCCTGTGCCTGAATCAGTAATGCTCTGCTAAGTGTCCAGTCTGCTGCCCCTTTTAGACAAGTCTCAGGATGGGAACACCATTCCAGAGTCAGTAAACGTTGGCTAGTTGAGGAACAGAAGGGTAAAAGGACAGGAGACAGTGAAGGAGGCTGGTTAGACAGGGTGTGGATTCAGAACTCAGGGACCCTGGTTGTAGGACAGAGGCAACAACTCCACTGCAGCAGGGAACCCTCCTGAAAGCCAATATCTGCTTTCTCTCAGAACCTCCACAGTCCTCTAAGCTTCCCAGCTAGAAGCAACTTCCCTTGGCCTGAGCATAAAAACATCTGCCTTTTTGGACACTCTTTAACAACTGTCATGCACCTTGCCTTTTGCTGCAGAAGTGGTGGCAGCAAAGCGTCCTAGACCTCCACACCCACTGCCTCCAACCCCGCCCACCCACGCTCCTCTGTTCTCCCTGCAACCACAGGACCGCAGCCCCCTCCGCTCGCGTCATCCAGGCGATGCTACATTTGCTAGGTTCAGAGGCTGCGAACGAGCAGACACTTGCTGCCCGGCCGTGGGAGGTCTGGAGGCCAGCGTGGCTGGCTCTGAGCTCCAGGTGTCAGGGCGGCCTCGGAGAGCCATGATCTAGTGCGCTGCAGTGCCAGTCTTAATCGCCCCGCTGCGGCCGCAGGACAGATGATCCCCCGCCCCTCCAGCACGACCACAAACCAAAAAGAGAGAGAGAGAGAGAGAGAGAGAGAGAGAGAGAGAGAGAGAGAGAGAGAGAGAGAGAGAGAG